GAACCCCCTTCGATATTAATAATGAAGCATCCACCGGGGGCGCTCCATCACTCACGGATATGGGAGGGGAGAGGGGGGAGGATGGGGGAGGGGCAGATTCAATGTAAACCCTCGATTTTTTTTTCGCTGACCGTGAAGAAACGAATTATGGGACAAAAAATAAATGATAATTTAGGGACTGCGTTGGTAGTTCTATTATATAGACACATGCACTATAAACTGCACGCAAGAATGAACAAAAAACGAGGTCACATTCGTCGCTAACACTGCTTTGAAATAAAAAAACGGCTGACGTTTTGGTTATCGGCTCCTTTTGCAGGATATCAGTGGCAAGGCCACGTGTTACGCTTTAGTCGTATCTACACGCACACGTGTATCTACACGCACACGTCTATAGATACACGCACACGTGTATAGATACACGCACACGTGTATCTACACGCACACGTGTATCTACACGTATGCGTGCACAACTGGCCGAGGGATTTCCCGCCATCGCCATGCGAGGATAGTCGAGGGGGTTATTGGACCATATGCTTTGGGTCTTTCGGTAAAGTCACGCAGATAGGTTCAAAGAAAATAACCGAAAGACCCACAGAATATGAATTTCTGCAGTCGCGAAAGCTTCAAGTCACGATGTATTTGACGATACTTCACCAGGCCGGTGAGTGCGGGTTGGTGGAGGCGGGGGAAGGAGCCCCACGAACAGTCCAAAAGACGGAGGAGGAGGGAGCGGTCGCAGCCCGACAGCGAGACGACGCTACCAACAATTTCCCCAGGTCTGCGGTCCTCGTATGTTGAGATGTTTTCAGCCAAATAATGCGCATGCGCGCAAGGGGGTCTATCTCTTACGAGCCTTTTCGGGTCCGAGTGGCTGGCTCGCCATGGGGTTCGATGGATCGGAGCTCTCTATGGATCTTACGATCGAAACGTCATCGTTTATCTGTTATTTTCTTTGAACCCATCTACGTGACTTTACCGAAAGACCCACAGAATAAACTCTCTATGCATCTCCATGCATCTCTACGCTTTAAAAAGAAACGTTTTCGTCGTTTTCCATGCAAATTGCATCTCTCACAACCACCCAGGAACCACACAGACGCAGTTGGCAGGGAGGCGCCAGGTGGAGCCAGCGCTACTAATTTCCCAAGCTCTCCACTCCTCTATATATTAAGATGCTTTCATTCAATGACTGTTTGCGCGATGTGTGTTCACCACGATAACAAGCAATCGCGACCCAGGCAAGAGCTCTGCTTCGCTTGTGATATCATCGGCGTCTGAAACGCAATTTGGCTGCTATACATTTCCTCACCTGGTGTGCGGGAGGTCGTGGGTTCGATCCCGACCCTGCTGTATATTTGTAGTTTCCGTGTTTCTCTCTCTCCTTGTCCCCCTGGTTTCCTCCTCCACATTTAGAATCAACACGCGTTTCGAGTATTTGACTGCTATACATTTCAATCGGATAAACACATTTCGTTGAGCCATCATTTGTGGCCAAATTGCTTCTTAAAAGAAGCTATACAGCTTAGTCGGCCTTACCTGCTAAAACTAAAACAAGTCGACAGTGTTATTTTAAAGTGGAACGACAAAACAGGTGTCCAGGAATAGTGAGGCGTTGGGTTGAGTGCGTCAGACGGGGCAGTGGCACTGGTGGTGGCGGTGGTGGCTACGCTGCGGCTGCTGCTACTGTTGCACGTGGCTGCCTGCTACCCATCCCTGTGCACGCAGCAGCAGCGAGGGTTGGTGATCACCGCACAGACGTTGCTGTGAAACTCACTTCATACCACGTGGGTGGGCGCTGAGAAGGAGCCCGTACCCTGGCTCGCCCAGAAGGCGGTACTGCAATGTGCGGACTAATCTCCATCAGTTCCATCTGCGTGGGGTCGAGTGAGGCCTCCCTCGTGCGGGTGATCTCTGGGTTTCCTCTCACTTGATGGCACACGATCATTTTTGGGCGGCTGTGATTTTATTTACAATGTGATTTACAATCTGGTTCTTTCGGTAAAGTCACATGACTTTACGAAAAAAAACTGAGTATGGATTCCTGCAGTCACGAAAGCTTCAAATCAAGATACAATGTGATTTTTTTATAAATAAAAAATAAGCGGACGAACATAAATTGTGTATGACCGTGGCGTCCACATAGACTTGGAATTGGCAAGTGCACACACATTACATTTAGTACAACGTTTGGCGATAGCGTCATATATTCCCCAGTGTTGATAAGGCGTCTCCTACCACGGACCATGACTTAGCATGCGGACAGAGTTCGCGCTGGAGAGCAGTCGCTCACGTTGTAATCGTCACTTTATATTGGGTGGCCCTCTTTAGCTCACCACCAATCCTGGCGTAGTGTACAATGGAATATTTACAACAAAAATAACCCTCGGCACATTCGTCAACAGCAGCGTGCGGGTGGCCTTAAAAGGAAAAAAAAACATGGAATAGGCGACGATTCAGGTATTGGGCCCCTCCTCCTTTAGAGCACATGGAAAAGGGCCATTGCCCGAAACGTCTTTTAAAGCCATGTTGAATGTTGATTTGTTAACTGTGCGTTTGCATCGCTGCCATCGCAAGCAGCAGCATCAAGAGATGATGTGTTACTCGTGGGTTTTACCACAACGCGTTAGATACAAACGCGTTTACAGCTGGCGCGGACACGATGGCCACGTGTATTCTATGGGGTGGGGAAGTAATTTGAGCCTGGTATTAAACAAGGGGGCGCTTAGGCCGTCATCGTGACGGACGGCTGGGGGGGGGGGAAGGGAGGTCAATAATAACGGAGGATAACCGACTGAGTGGAGGTCGACCAATATTCATTTTATAAGAGGCAGGTGGTGGTAGGAAAACAGATTTGGAGCCGTGGTCTCATCGCAAGCTCCCGAGGTCTGCAAACCACAACTGCGAGAGGCCCTGGAGCTCACCGAGTGATCGGCGAGCGGACAGCGACGGTGGGCGGCAGACGCCCGCCCGCCACCATCTTCCCAGCCTCCGCGCGCCGACACGAGGGGGGGGGGGCAGTGCGCGCATCTCCTTGTAAAGCCTCTCTGGCTGAGCGGCCAATGCCGGCGAGGCGTACATTACCCTGCTTTGACACATGGGCCGTAAACATGGGGACGAGCGGCAATGAAACCAGCGCTACGAGAGCCAAGGAGCGTTTGCGACGACACGCGCAGGACACGTCCGCGCTCCCAATTACGCCGGGCCAGGAAGAAGAGCGCGTGGATTATATAACGCGCGCACGAGACATCAGTGACTGCGTGTGTGGCTGATGGTGTTGTACAGCAAGTGGGTGTGTGTGTGTTAAAAAAAATCAGTGCAAGTATTTTTTTTGTTACATCGAGGGACAGATGTGACAGGAAGCGAATCGCATGCTTATTTATTCTTTTGTGAACACTCGAGCGGGCTCGGACGGAACACGTCCCTAGATGGGACGGTGGGCTGCCGATTGATTGAGACAAAGCGACAGTCGGCAACCAGGGGAGGAAGAGGCGTTTGGAAAGATCGGGGGGTGGAGGTGGGGGATGGGTGGGGGTGATTGCCCCTTTCTTTCTAGCACATTTGCGAGCGATCGGGAGAGCTTTGATGGAAATTTGCAAGGACGTCCAGGCTCCAGTGTGGATGTTTTCTTGGAGGATACGAGTGGCAGCAGCAGCAGTCTTGAGAGCTGAGGGATCATCATTAGCAGCAGCAGACCGAGGCATTTGGTGGTCACATGGGCCAAGTGGGAGGGCGTTCGCCCACTTGTTGACGAGCTTTGCGGCTCGACTCTGGAAGGCCGCCCCCGGTTATTACCGCAACGCGTACGGAACCGTAAATGACACCGCAGGCCTCTCGTTTCGCAGCGGCGGACGTTAAAGATCCCGTGACGTCATCTTCACGGCCCCCCGCCCCTACGGACGGTCCCGCTGCGTCGAGTTCGAATTCTCGCGGAGTTTGTTCCCCTCCAACGTCAATCGGCGTATCGCGCCGCGTGACGTCATTCCAAACGAGGTCATTCCCGCGTTCGGGCGTCACGGCAAGAATTTGCCTAATCACCTGGAAACGACTCAAGTGGGATTACACACAGCAGCAGCAGCAGCATCGTCCCTCCACCCCCGACCGTGAAGCTACCGCGGAATTGTTTTCTGAGAAACACAGCGGTGCGTGCGCCCTACCTTGGTGGCGGCACCAAGCCCGGTGCTTTTCACTAAATTTCAGGGGGAGCTGTGGGGGGGCCGCTGCACATTTGAAACCATTGGTTTCGACGGCACGACGATGGGAGGGCGTTTTCATTATTTGTGCACTGTCAGGGGGCCGCACTAAAGGCCACCAAGGGGGACCGCCAGTGGCCCGCGGGCCTTGCAATGAACACTGCACGCTACACAAAAGAAAAGCAAACGTGTCCGAGGAATGATTGTAATGCGTAATGTCGCACAACGCCGCCCCCTACCCTCCCCCCCCCCGAGATTCGTTCCAGAAGTCGGACGGCAACAATGAAAATAATTTATGCTCCGTATGCCTTTGAAAGCTGGCGCTTCCCAACGCGCGAGCACACGGCAGCCACGACTATGCGCAGCCCCCCTCCCGACGTTTGCGCACGGGAATCTTTCGATTCAGCCGCAAACGAAAACTCGGGGGGGGGGGGGGGGGAATTAATACGATAAACTATTTTTATTTTAGCAGGTAAAGCCCACTGAGCTATGTAGCTCTTTTTAAGAAGCTACCTGGCCACAAATGATAGCTCGACGAAGTGGCTTATCGAGTGGAAATTTATTGCCGCGGGACGTTGATTCTAAATGTGGTGGGAAAAACCGGAGGACCCGCAGAAAAATCCACGCGACCACAGGGAGACGCCAACTCCAAATATACAGCAGGCATCAGGGTTATGTTTGAACCCACGACCTCCTGTACACCAGCCGGGGTATAGTTAACTCCCCACCGAGCTCGGTAGGCCTTTAAAACACACACGCACAGATGTTGTTGTTGCCATGCACAAGGTAACAGCAGCCGTAACAACGTTTCTTTTCCCCCTGTTTATTTGAAACTGTATGAACAAAAAACGCGGTGATGTCACGCACAACAATGCATTCGTCAGGCCCATTCTGGAATGAAGGAGGACAGTCAACTCGCTGCAAACCCAAGGACTACATCGTGCGGACACGCGGTATAAACACACGCTCAACCCGCACGGCACGTCGCAACGGCAACGGTAGCAACAGCGCGCGCGTACTCACTCACACACCCACGCGGGCCAACTCGCACACACCCCCCGTACTGATTGACACACCCGCATACTGACTCACACACCCGCGTACTCACTCACACCCGCGTACTCGCTCAACCCCGCGTGGGCCAACTTTCACACACCCCCGTACTGACTCGCACACCCGCGCGTACTCACTCACACCCGTGTACTCACTCACTCACACCCGCGTACTCACTCACTCCGCAAAGTCGAATTCGCGCGGGCGCCCGGTTACACCCGCGTACTAGCTCACACTCCACGTATTAGCTCACACTCCACGTACTCACATTAGTGTGCGCACACGCTCACGCGCCCGCGTACCCGCCGGCGCCCGTGGTGCTGCCTCCATGCGGCCACCTCGTGGGCAGCAGTGGCACGGGATGCAGTGATGGGGGGTCAGGGAAGTGTGGGCTACGCTCATCTTGCCCCCCACACTCCCCCCCTCAACCTCACTCCTGCCTCCCACCGCCCAGAGAACGAGCCGTGGAAAAACACGACCTCGACTTGCCACGGCAAAGCCTCGAGGGCAGAGCCACCACCCAGAGGCTCCACGGTAGAGCCACGGCATCGAGCCGCCCGGGAAGGGAGCGTTGCCCACACGGAGCAAACAAAAGCAACGAGCATTTACAAGCAACGGGGAGGAAGGCGGTTCCCTACAAAAATACAAGAGGGGTCTCTGGGGGTGGACAAGGGTGGAGGAGAGAGAGGGGGGGGGGGGAGGAGGCAGTGGCTCAATCCACGACAATGAGGAGGGAGGACCAAGCGGCCGGATGAGTGTGGACGCTCACGGCCCCCGCGCGTTGCTGCGTGGCGCACGCGGGGACACAACGCCGACTTGCGTCTGCGTTGGGTTAGCGGGAACCCCGTGGCCACCACGAGGGGTGCTACGTAACGCACCACACTGCTCCGAGGGTAACCGGATTCTCCCATTCTCAAATTGAATCGTGGAAGCTGCCGTGGGAGAAGGGGGGGGGGGGTAATCGGGTGGGGGGTACGGGTGGCGAGGACCCCGAACCGTTTACAGGCCTCACCGCGTCAAGCCACCCTCACTCACCACCCACAAACCCCCCCCCCCCACGCCCTCACTCTCCCCTCCCACTTCTCCCCCCCACCGGCACCCTCCCTCCCCCCACCCCCCGCTCACGCCGAGAGGTCGCTGGTGTTGAACCGCTCCTGCTCGTAGATCTCGGCCGACACCTTGCGCCCGCCGAACCAGCGGCCGTTGAGGGCCTGGATGGCGCGCTCGCTCTCCGCCGTCTCCGAGAACTCGACGAAGATCTTGACGATGACGTCGGCGTCGTCCTCCTCGCCCTGGCGCTCCTGGTAGATGACGACGCGGCTCACGGCGCCGTACTTGCCGCATTCCTCCGTCACCTCGCCCTCCAGGTCGTCGTCGATGTCCTCGGGCCCGACCATGTTGCGCAGGACCATGACGCGCGACTGCACACGCGAGGGAAAAACGACGCGCGAGTGAGTCACGACGGCTGCCACTCGCTCCGGCCGCTGTGGTATGTGCGTGTCAGGAACACTCTTCCTTCCGATATTAGGAAGCCAACAATTGAAAACCCATTTCTTTAGAACTACTTTTTGCGTGTCGGTTGTTTGTCCTACCACCGCACGTCCGATTATCACGGTTCGGCTACGCACGGTGCCAAAGGAATTCAAACATACACGACACACTACAATACTACTATACACTACACTACTATTCCCTACACTATACACTACACTGCTATACACTAAACTACTATACACTACACCGCTATACCAAGTTGAAAACGAATTTGTTCAGAACTGCTTTTCGCATGTTAGTTATTTATTCTTCCCCCCCACCTCTGATTAGCACGGTTGGCTACGTACGGTGCGAAAGAAGTTCAACATGCAGCTCGGGGTATGGCACAAACGATCACCGTCAGTTCCACGCGAGCCGAAACGGGGTGAGGGGGTGGTCCACCAACTCCCCCCGCCCCCACCGTGCACGCAGCATTGTGCGACGGAGCTGTGGCTTTGTGTCTCAGTCGCTGCCACGCGTGTGTGCGTTTGCGCGTGTGAGATATGGCCGTTCTGTAGTGGGGAGCGGCAGGGCAGCGGTTAACGCGCCGCGCTACGAACCCGGCGACCTGAGTTCGATTCCAGCTCACAGCCAACACCAGTGACGATAATCTGAACGGGTCCTGGCCTTTCCCTAGGCAGACTAATCCTCACACGAGTACTTGGTGCGCTGTGTAAACATCGCCACTGGGGAGACCAAGGCGGTCGGGTGTGGCGCTAGCTCCCCACCCCCTCAACATACTACATCACGCACGCGCACCCCACACGCACCTCCTGCTTGCGCAGCAGCTTCTGCATGACCATGTGGCGTGCGCTGCTGCCCGAGATGGTCATGTGCTCCTGCTCGCTCAGCGTCTCCGTCTTTTCGGGAGCTGCCTCTTTCCCGTCGCCCGCGGCCGCGGCGGCCGCAGCAGCGGCGGCGGCGCCTCCCTCCTTGCGCGTCGCCGCAGCGGCCGCCGCCGCCGCCAGTCCGGCCATGCCGCCCATGTTCATCATGCCCAGGCCAGGCCCGCCCATGCCCGCGAGCCCGCCCATGTTCATGCCCAGGTTGCCCATGTTGATGCCGCCCATGTTGATGGCGCCGCGGGGCATGTCGCCCGAGCCGCCGGCGCCCGGCGGAGGAGTGGACAGCACGGGGTTGACCAGCCCCACCTGCGGGATGCCCATCCCTAGCTGCATCTGCGGCCTCAGAGGGGTCACTCCTGGGCGGGGTTAGAGGACGTTCAGCAGGTTAACGACACCGTTCACGGGTAACTACGCCGAGCTGTTAACTCCCTCGCCTGGTATGCGGGAGATCGGAGGTTCCATCCCGAACCTGATGCCTGCTGTGGATTTTTCACTGGGTCCTCCGGTTGTTCCCTCCACATTTAGAATCAACAGTCACGCGTTTAGAGTATTTGGTTACTATACATTTCCACGTGATAAGCCAGTTCGTTGAGCTATCGTTTGTGGCCAGGTTGCATCTCAAGAAGAGCAATATAGCTCAGTGGGCCTTACCTGGTAATATAAGAAGAGTTTAGTTTTCGTTTAGTTTAATATCCCCGCTCTTTATTTTAACCACCATCATCTTACGTACAGTTTTATCCCGATTGTAAAGCGAGCGGGCTTGGGCGAGACACGTCAGCAGCGACGACGGGTGGTAGTCGAGGAAAAGGACGCCGTGATTGACCGACGTTTTGGGCAATGACCCTCCTTCACAGGAAGCCGTCACATAGCGGCCAATCGGGGCCTTTGTTAGTCAACGCATAATTCATTCGGATTTAAAGATCGTAAGACTTTGGGAGCAGTAATTTGTTGTTGTTTTGCTGCCAAGCCCAAGCTTGCATTTACTGTTGAAAAATCGGAAGGAATTTATGTACGAGTGCAATTTGCACTCCGACTCTACATGTCATTTAATATTTTTTCGTGACCTGCTTTACCATTTCTCTATTTTGCACTTCCATCACTTTATTGTTGTCTTATTTGTTGTTGCAAATTGCGGACCCTCCCCTGTTGGACAGCTCGTAGGATTCTTCCGAGTTTAAAACAAGATATCGATTCTGATTGAGCTGGGATCCGATCGAGACCGCTTTTACAACGCTCGTTTAAATATTGCGGCGATTTCAACCGGCGGTGTTCAGAAACGGCGCGTATCGTTGCGTTATTGAAGCTTTGGTTCGGTACTCGAAAAATAAATTGGGCTCTTCCTACTGTGCAGGCTTCTCACTAGTTCTATGACATCCACTTCTACGGGCCATTCTCAAACCAAGGGTTTCCGCATGGTTTATTCCGCCTCTCGATGCCAATAGCACAATTTAGATACAATTTGGGGGAAAAGATTTAAGTAATTAAAATGGCAAATCTATGCAGCATTAAAAGGATAATCGTTATGCTGGAGATGGCGTTAGTGGTCGTGGTGGTGATCGTGGTGCTGGTGATCGTGGTTGTGATTGTGCCGGCGAATGGTGGTGATGATTGTACTGGTGATGGAAGTGTTGATCGTGGTGATTATGGTGGCGGTGATCATGGCGATTAAGCTGGAGATCGTGGTGGTTATCAAACTGGTGATCGCGATGATCGTGGTGGTGATCAGGGTGATGATCGCGGTGGTGATCACGCTGGTGAAGGGTAGTGGCGATCATGGTGGTGATGATGGTGGTGGTGATCGCGCTGGTCACAGTAGAACATTGGCGCCTAACCTGTAATGAGCCCTGGCGCCTGCGCCGCCATCACGGCCTGCGGGAGGTTTCCCAGCGGCTGCGCGAGCCCCAGCGCGGCGGCAGCTGGCGACACCAGCCCCTGCGCGAGGCTCTGCGCCGTCACGGCCGGCGTCATGAGGCCCTGCGCGATGCTCTGGGCCGTCACGGCAGGCGGAACCAGCCCCTGCGCCAGCCCCTGTGCCAGGCCCTGTGCCGCCGCCAGGGCGGCAGCCGCCGGGTTCGAGAGGGCGCCGTACGCCGCGCCGGCTACCGCCTCCTGCGAGCGACACAAGCGACACGCACGCACGGCACGAACGTTACATCAAGGCGCCGGCGAGACAGCCGACCGTGGCAGCTGCCGAGTGTGCGACGGAGTCGAGGGCGCGATGTGGATTTCACGTGGCGTCTGTGCGTGACCGAAAACCGTGGATTTATTAATATTATTGAGAGAGACTATAAGACCGTTGTAGATAGAGAAATAAAGGTTCTCGAGCTTGAATTTGGAATAGAGGGAGTGGACAGCACGGATGGCTGCGCCGGGGGGGGGGGGGGAGGGCGTTCCAGACGAGAGATGCAGAAGATGAGAATGACCGACTCGCACTGAGTGAAGAGTGAAGGCTGATGGAAAGCCTTGGATGCTGGAGCGGAGGAGTGCGTGGGAGGGGAGTAGAGTGTAGAGTGAGATGAGAGGGGAGAGGTAGGAGAGCACGTAGAAGGGAGCAGAGCGAGATGAGAGGTAATAACAATTTATATAGCGCCCTGCCATGCAAATTCAGGCATCAAATCAGGTTGAGAATCGATGATTTACAATTCTGGTTAATTATATGCAAATGACAATGTACACGTCCGAAACAAAAAAAAACAAGGCAATGTAACTGTCATGATTCAAGCTTACATTGCAAATTATTGCATCAATGCAAGATTAGCCCAACATTTGCATACAATTCGCATTAATCATAAGCAACTCTCACATAATCCGAACGCTGCAATGGATTTTTCCCCGCCGGATCGATGCACCCCCATTACATCACATCACACGCCTCGAATCGGCCAACGCGGCCACCCTCTTGAAAGAGAGCCTTGATACTCGGCAGGATAAATAAACTCCACGGAGGTGGGGGGAAGGGGTGGGTGGGGCCGGGAGGGACCCAACGGCCGTCTGCCGTAACAATGCGGCGTGGTCCGGACTGCGGCACGGCTCCCCGCGCCATTATCTTGAGGAACGCTGACGCCAGCAGTGTCGCGGACGACTGCGGAGACGCCAGCAGTGTCGCGGAGGACTGCGGAGACGCCAGCGTGTAACCAAAGAGGTGGTCGGGGAGCCGCAGGCAACGGCACCACCGCCCTTCAGCAGCGGCGCTCAAGAACAAACGTGAGCGACGCTCGCCGAACGTCGCCCGCGCTATGTACACACGTGGAAAGTCACGGCCGACCACTCGTACGCGCCAGACAAAGAGCGGCACCCCCCCCCTACCGGAGCAGCACAAGAGAACACGCCGACGCACAAACTTCGGAGAATAAAATCCACGTCCTCTGGCGTCATCGTGAAGGGGTCAGAGGCCTTGACGAGGTCAAAAACAAGACAGATGTATACTGCCCACACATCCGCTACTGCTGCTGTGAGCGTGCATCTATGAGGGCCAACACAGCACAGGAGGGGGCTAGCTCCATCTTGTCTCTGCAGTGCTGACATTCTCATGCACCGCACCAGGTACTCGCTTAGGCCAAGGACCGGTTCAGATATCTGTTGGTTGTGAGCCAGGAATCTAACTCTGGCCGCCAGGTTCGTGGCGCAGCGGCACAAGCCGCTGCCCCGCCGCTCCCCACACCCAAACACAGACGCACACTAGCCTAGTCACACATGCCCGCCTGGACCTCACACGCCCACACTGCCTAGAGGAATGCCACAACAACACCTCCACGTGTCGGATTTATGCAGCACAAAGCCTATCTGGTGTAAACATGCCAGAAATACTAAGCGTCTGTAAATAAATGTGCGTGCGAGATAATCGTGATAATAAACATCGTGCATGCGACGGCACATCGATTCCTCAACTAAAATGTATTCCTAGGCTGGCAATACGCGCATCAAACCGCGCGCGTGCCAGAATCGATGGAGTGTTTGTTTTTCAAAAAATTAGAAATGCGAGCGATATTCCTCACACTTGGGCGTAGCGGATCGAACAAAACTCAATAAACGAGATAGGGAGGAGGGAGCCGATTCTTGAACCGCAGACAAATTATTTGTCGATGCTGCTGCTGGTGCTTCTGCCGTTAGCCGTGGTGCACAAAACACATGAAATGCTGAATTATAAAATTAAGCAAGTTCGTCAACAACACCTCTACGTGGCCTTAATATGAAAAACTAAACAGGTGACGTTTTTGGCAATGGCACCTAAAATCATGTATATGCTCTGAAGAAGGGCCACTGCCTGAAACATCGTACATCATATAGATGTTTTTCTTTTAAAGGCGCACACACAGTGACACTGACGAGGGTGCCGCGAGCGTTCTGATTCTCGAGTCGTGACAATTGGACGCATTTCAACTTGAAAGGGCCCCCCCCCCCCACCAGCTTCCCGCTCGCCCCCCCTACTCGCTCCCCCCCCACCCCACCTGCGCGCAGGGGTGGAATGCGCACACACACATCGTGTTTTATGGGTAGGCAGGGCGTGGGTGTTTTGACAATCCGTGGAATTTTTTTTTTCATACCACCACCACCCCGCTCCAGCGCTGCAAAATCCAACCAATCACAACACGAGGGGGGGGGGCTTGCCGCTGTGTGGGAGGGAACGTGGCACTGCACGCGGCTTCTTGGGCGGCGGTGACATAAAGAGACGGGAGATTTGCGTTGCGCCGCGTTGGTGGCAGGAGGAGGAGGAGCAGAGTGAAGGAGCCCGCTCGTTAATCTCGCCGCCGCCGCTGCCGCAGTGGCTGTCCCACCACATTGTTAACGAGCGTGCTAATAAGTTATCATTATTCCCCGGGACGGCTCATCAAATTAAGGGGGGGGGGGGCGGTGGCGGGTTTTAGCCGGGAAGAAGAACGGGGCGAGACCCGGTCACGGTTGCCACGTCAGCAACCGCGGCAACCCCTGAAGTGGCATCGCGCATCCCTCCACAGCAACCCCCGCCCTCAGCCGCCCACACCTTGCGCCGCTCCTCACCGCGACGCACGCGGCAGGACCACCCTGGCCCCGTTTGTTTACAGGAATTAAATTGAAACCCTCTCCCACACCTCCGATGCCGCCGCCGCCTCCACTGCCGCCCGAGATGTTTCTGTCCGCCGAGTGGACGCGGATTAGGGAGGTGCAAATGTAACGCGCAGAGTGAGCCGCAGGGACCTCTGTGGCAGGAGCGGTTCGGAGCCATCGTTGAGCCCGCCGCCGTCATCCCCTCTGCACCCCCCCCAACCTCCAAGGCTGCTCCGTGCGTCTCCAACAGCGGCCATCATGACAAAAGATTCCCCATAGTCTTTGAGGGGCGAGAGCTGTTGTCTCCCCAGTGGCGATGTTAACACAGCGCACCAGGTACTCATGTCAGGATTAATCGGGCCTAGGGGAAGCCCAAGACCCGTTCAGATTATCGTCACTGGTGTTGGCTGTGAACTGGAATCAAACTCGGGTTGCCGGGTTCGTAGCGCGGCGCGTTAACCGCTGCCCTGCCGCTCCCCACTACAGAACGGCCATTTCTCACATGCGCAAACGCACACACGCGTGGCAGCGACTGAGACACAAAGCCACAGCTCCGTCGCACAATGCTGCGAGCACGGTGGGGACGGGGAGAGTTGGTGGACCCCCCCCTCACCCTGTCTCGGCCCGCGTGGAACTGACGGTGATCGTTGGTGCAATGCACCGAGCTGCATATTGAAGTTCTTTCGCACCGTATGTAGCCAACCGTGCTACTCAGTGCGGGAGCTATCTGGGACTCCCCCAATCCTGTCCATAGGTCCAAGAGCAAGCCGGCTGTGTTTGCTTGTACGCCGTACTCCGTGACAATGCTTTCCACTGAGGGACTTTATGTTCATATAAACTGGCTCTCATTATCACCAGCAGCAACAACCATCAATCCACTGCTGGATGAAGGCCTCCCCAAGCTGACCGCTACCGCCGCCACCATCTCCTCTGCGGGCCACCCTCTCGGACACATTACATTCCTCGGCTCTCATCTAGGATCAATGGAAGGTCCGAGTGATAGCGGAGCTGTTGAACCTCTCTGCACCTCCCACGTGCACTTTGCAGCGAGTAGCAATAATCTACTGCCCTTTGTCAATCCACTGCTGGATGAAGGTCCCCCTCACCGCCCCCACACAGTGTCGGCGTTTGTTTGACCGTACTTCACCGCACATGGGACAGATGCCCCCCCTCCCCGTATTGCAGGTGCAGTGCTCCGACAAGGCCTCTGCGTGTTGGGCGCTCTATAAAAAACCAACAATTACTGTTATTGCTATTATGTAAAGGGCATGAAGGTGGGTGCTCTCGCTGGTGCTGGTAGGGACTGTGTGGGGTAAAAGGGGTGGGGGGGGCGGCCGGGGGGGGGGTCTCCCCCCCCCCCCCAGGGTAACAGTCTGTCCACACGCCCGACCTTGAGTGGAGGGGGTGGGGGGCCGCCGCAGAGCATGACGGATGACGGATGGCCACGGGGGTCGCTGGGTGAGATTACATCGATTGTTCCCGCGTGCGCATTAACGAGATCGCATTACTGGCCGGTGCGGACTGGCGTGGGGGGGCAGGCGCGGGAGGGAGAGAGATGGACAGTTGTGAGGTGGGGTGGGGGGCGTGATGGGAGGGGGGGGGCTGGCGCACCGTTATGCGTGCACACGGGGCGTGCACGCCAACGCTAACGAGCGATGTTGGCCATAGTGTCATTCAACCCCCACACCTCTGCCCCCCACGCCCCCCCCCGACCCCAACCCTTCCACAACGCACCTCCCCCCTCATAACGCACCTCCTGCCGATTCAATTAATTTTTTTACGATCCGTAGTCGTTATTTTCAGAGGATCGATCATCCGCTCGCTCGTCTTGTTTCCACACGGGCTGTTAAATGACAACCGATGGACAACAAAAAATCCAGAAACCGTTTACAGAGCAAGTTTACCGGTTCGTAGAACCGTGAACCGATCGTAGCAGAACGTTGGTAATGAGAGCACAGATTGGCCCGGCGCGAACCCACAAAACGCCAAAAGCCGCCGCGCGGTTCATTTCCCTGCGTTCCTTAATTAAAAACTTAATTATTTTGCTGGAGGGCGTTTCTATACGTATGTGGCAAACCCATAACTGGTTTTAGTTAAAGCTATGTACCCGTAACCGCTAATTTTTTTACCGCACCTTTCACATTCACTTCTCTCTTTCCCGCTCAGCCGTCCTCACCGACGTCTCATTTGTACGAATTTTTCTCACCCCACTAACCTACATGTAACATTGGGCGTATCGTACCGTGTGGGTATAATTTGCATAAATCATTAATCAACCGTTACACGGGCGGGTGAACGTATCACGCGGGAGGGAGGACGAGAGGATAAAACGCCGCTCCGTTTCGCTCGCTCGCCGCTCACCGCTGCTCAGTCCGAGGTCACTGCGGCAGCAAAAAAAAAAATTTCCACTGGCGTGTCGGCAGAACGAACGAAAAACAAAACGGACGGACAGCCAATTTGACTGCGCGGCAAGCGTGGCCAAGCACCGTCTCGGCTCCAGCAACGGGCGTCTGTCAACGCTGGCGGCTAGGAGAGAGCGGGGGAGACCAGGGGGGGGCCCAGGTGGCGGAGCGGGCGACACAGAACCCATGCGTGCGCCTCAACGCTGCGTGAATTAAAGATGAACGCGTCATGGCGGATGTGCTGGTGACTGGACTCTTTGGCTAGCGCTCAGTGCCGTTGTGCGCAGACAGCCGTCACCCGCACCTCCGCACAGCGCTAGCGGCACAACGATGGCCGCTATACAAGACTAGTGTCACTGCACGCAGACCCACACCTGCACACGTGAGTGCACACCCGTACATACATACCACGCAACCCTGATGTCACTCACTCCACACAGACCAACCCCGCTGTGCACACTCACAGCCACTTCACGATATCAGTGTCACACTTACTCATATGAAGCACACACAACTCTTGCGTCACTACACAATGACACCCACTACGCAATGCCGGCGCGTGTATATGCTCGTATGAACCGCACAACCCGATCGCTATAAAGACAAAGAACTCCCGTACAGCTATAGCAGACTGTGGGGGAAAGTGCTGTTAGCGAGTAGCATCGATGAAGGCTGGAATGGTACGCGAGGGGGTGGCCTGCACCACACCCGGCCGCCATTGTCTCCCCAATGATGATGTTTACACACCGCACCACGTACTCATTTCAGATTGAGTTGACCTATGGGAGGCCCAGGACCGGTTCAGATATTCGTTCCTGGTGTTGGCCATGAGCGGTAATTGAACTCGGGTCGTCTGGTTTGTAGCTTCACATGCTAACCCCTATGGTACCGCTCCACGCTATCACTATACACACACACTCCTACCCGCTGCTCAACACACAAACCCACACCAGCACTTAGCACACACAAGGTGACATCATTATTATCATCACACATTTTATGCATGGGTGGTTTACCAATGGAAGCATTAACCCGATTCACTCCTGCTTAGCTGCTGAGATCTGATGAGATCTCGGGTGCATTCCAGGTGATACGGTCACAGGCAGTCCCTGCATGATACCAGGTAAGGCCCACTGAGCGAGGTAGCTCTCTTTCAGAAGCGACCTGGCCACAAATGATCGCTCAGCGAAGTGGGCTTATCACGTGGAAATGTATAGCAGCCAAATACTCGAAACGCGTGATGTTGATCTTAAAGGTGGAGGGAAAAAAACGACGCATATATCAAATGAAACATATACACATGACTTATTTTTAGCCACGTCTGTCTGTGTCGGCAGCCCAGGAAATAATTTCCACAGCTTGGCGGCACAGCACATCCAGATATAACTGGCCAACGTGCAAACCTACTCCAGTAGACTCTGAGTAGACCACGGCATAATAATGAGAAATAAAACCACTCGTATACCCTGCCCGTACTAACAACGTGCACGTGACCAACACAACTCTCTCCGCACTCAGAAGGAATAACCAACACCGCTGTCCATCCTCGTCATTACAGCACCGTGCGTGGCTTTAAAAGGGGGGAAAAAAATCGGTGTTTTGGTGAAGTACATTAAAGTACGTGCCATATAGAAGGGCCACTGCCAAACCCATCACATATTTACAGGCAGATCTCGCTTGGCGCGATCCCGTAGAACGGCGATTCGTTATAGCTTCTATTTGTCCTGGAGAATATTTCTTTTACTCAAGAAAATGAAATGAAAACATCTAGAAAGCTCTTTCGAGCGAGTGAGAACAGGCAGCAGCAGCAGCGGCGTGTTAACGTACCCCCCACCCACACCGTCGTTCACTCAGCCAATGAGAGCCACGCACGCTCTGATCCATGGGAAGTTCAACAAATTCTGCCACTTTGTTGGCAAAATTTCAAAATCATTCTACCCCCTTCCCCAGGGTGTCGTCATATTGATTTGAAGTATCTAGTTTTGAAAATGATGTCTTATTTAAGGAAGAATGGAGTCGATGCAGTGACGCATACGCGAAAATGAATGCACCCTTCACAATCATCTTGGCTTGGATTATAGAGATATGTCCAACAGTGTGGCATTTAATGAGCAGTTCTCCTCTATCAAGTCAGAGGTCCAAGTAATCTCCTGTTATTCTACTGGGCAATGAGACATTTGTACTCATCTCCTGTTTATAGCACTGCAGAGAAAATGGTGGAAATTCCACATTCCTATTGCGGGGGCGAGAATATGCATCGCACAACCTAAGTTGACACAAAAGTGATACAAACTCTAGTGATTCTGCACGGAGGGCTTAGTCAAACTCCACCACCGACCAACCTCCAACTTCCCCCCACGAACCAGGATTTGAATTCTGAGACCTTCCGATTGCGAGCCGCTCACTCTGCCGCCGAGCCAGCCGGCCGGGCCCCACACTTGTGAACCCGACAGGACCTGGGAGCGCCGTACCGGGCAGCCCCTCCGCACAGCGTCACGGAGGCCGACGCAGATATAACGCCGCTCCACCGATTCGGCGCGTCGAGACCTTAGCTGCCAAAACCGGGAGGCAGTTACGAGCGCACCGCCCCTCTCGAACATAACCGCCCTCCCCCCCTCCACCTCCTTACCTGCGCGGTAATCTTGGCAGTGGCGGCGGCGGCGGCGACCGCGGCTGCCGGGGGAAGCCCTCCCGCGGCCGACATGGCGGCCATGGAGGCGAGGGCGTTGGGCGGAGTAACGGCACGGCCCACGCGCAGGTACTGGCCTCCCAGGTCGAACAGGTTCATGGAGGCCACGGCATCCTGGGCCGACTGATAGCGCTCGTATTCTGTGGCGGTGACGGCACCAACACGGTGGGGGGGGGGGGGGGGAGAGGCGCAACATAAACGGTGAGGGGCAGGGGTCAAGGCAAGGAGGGCAGGGGCAAGGCAAAGGGTAGTTGAAGGTACGGAGTAAAATTTCCAGCAGGATCAGGGCAACAGAGCGAGGCGCGTCAAAGTGCATGGCTCTGCTGGGTAAATGAGTAAAATAAGCAGGGTGTTCCCTAAATTTACTTTCCTATTTTGAACATAGATTAAAACAAAACCCTAATAGATGTACAAAAGAGTGCTTGGCGTCGTTGTGTAAACCTGAGTTTGTATCGACGCAGTTTTCTTCCGGTTGGCACTCCTCGGCCAGTAACCCCGAAAAAACGAAGCGGCGACCGTGCAAGAGAAGGCTCGATGCGTTGCGTGGCTCTCTACAATACCAACAACCGCCATTCGCCACCAAATGACGGTGACGTCACCACGGCACCTGTGCCAGGCCAGGTGCACTTTGCGGCCATCACGAGAAGTGTCGAAGGTTCGCTGCAAATAAAGACTCTCAGAGCTGGGCTCTTACACAGGAAAGCTCCTTCCTCTTCTGTCATCCGCCGTTTGAAATATGCAACAGCCTACAACTGTATTGTTAACGCTGTGGGCCATTCCACGGCATCCGGGGATGTGGTAGCTGAGTGGAGGTACCAGAGTACGCGTGTTGTGTAGGGTCGTCGTCGGTGGTATGCATTCGATGGTTAGTACCATACTGGTTTGTGTATGACTACTAAGTTATGTTTCTCATTTCGGCGCGGAGGGGGGGGGTTGATCCTGAAATCTCAAGGTTTTATGAACAGGGCCTTGCATGAATAATTATGATGAAAAAAAAGCAATTATATTTCCTCCGGTGATATGAGTTTATTAATGTCAGTTCTCATTTTCTTGAAAGAAAATTATAGGTTTTTATCATAAACATCGATAGGCCAAAACACCCACGTAAATAAATATCAATAAAATGTCAATTTTTTGGGGTCTCAAAGGAGGGATGGGGGGGGGGCGATGATACCCATTGGGCCCCACTCATCAGACGTGCCACCGGCTCGGCGAGTAGCCTCTACTGCAGTGATGGGATGCTTCTTCCCCCAAGTGGTCAGCCCCAGCAGGAAAAAATTATTGCCGTACTCAGCTCTCGCTCACCACCCTCACCACACCGACACCCCCACAAACCGCTCGTGCCAACACTCGGCGGCTCGCATCCATCTCCTGTCAGCTCCACCCTCACCACAGCTCCATCACCCAGGGGAGGGCCGGTAGGGGAACGAGCCACACCCACTCATCACCTCTAATTAATTACCGCTATTATTTATACACAAAGGCCTCCATGAGCCTCGATTCTTTGCTGTGAGGATTACTTATGTATTGGACCGATCCTGGCTAGAACACCGGACATGTGATGCAGAGGTCGGCGCCAGCAGCTGGAACGATGGGGGCCAAGATGTCTTAAAATACGTGGAGTGATACAGGAACGCAGTGGCATGGTCTCAGTTCATGTCCTGCCGTCTCACTGCGTGTGCATCATAGCACGTCGTATCTCGCCAAACTTTATCGTTACATTTTTTTTGGGGAAAATGTTTTGCTTAACGTGGCACTTTTCAGGAACGCATCCACCGCGTTAAATGAAGACTTATCGTGTCTACATACATATGGTCGACTGCAGAGAAACGTTTCCTAATTTTTTGTTACTCGCGCAGATCAGCAACACCAACAGCCGCTCCCCCCTGCCCCCGCTCCCCCTCCGAAACACTCACCGATGAAGCCGTACCCCTTGTGCTTGCCCAGCACGGGATCACGCGCCAACGTGCACATGGTGATCTTGCCAAACGCCTCAAACACGCTCTTGATGTCGTCGTCCGACAGGTCGGGGTGCACGGAGGCCACGTAGATGCGGTTGTGCGTCTTGGCCTCCTCCGCCAGCTGGTCGATGATAGGCTGTGCCTGCCCGATATTGCTGGGCCGCCCCACCTGACCGGCCCGCGCACAGGGGACTCCGGTCAGCGCGGTGCGCGGTCAAGGCCGTGGCACATCCGGTGGCGGCGTGTCCCAACCGCTCGTTGCAGACGGTTTCGTGGTTCGGTTCCGGAAGGCCGCCCTGTTTAATACTGCGGGTGCATTTGCCGTTAAAACACTGCGGTGCAGTCCGCTTCGCTCAGTGCATTCTAGAGATCCCCCTGACGTCAAGTAGGCCCACTGTGTGCCGGCATCATGGTCCTAATTAAAAAAAAATCCGCTGTTAATTATTTCTACAGGGTTTACGCACCTAACAACGTCGCCACCCTACTGTAAAAGTTCTGCAGACTGTGTACCGAACGTCGATTCAAATTGATGCCGGGGTGCGATTTTGTCTCCGCCGCGTCTCTCACGTGGTCAGCGGCTGGCGGCACAGAGCGTGGCCGGAGTGAGGGGGCTGTTGCGTGCCAAGGGGCAGGACCCTCCCACACTCGCTCCACTGGCTCACAGACTGCCACCCCCCCCACCGTCCCTTTTACATGACGTCGGGCGAGCGCGCACCCATCGCCTGAGCTGGCTACGCTTTTAATTTTTGATGAAATTTTTATTTTGCTGAACTACGGTCGGACATAAAAACTAACCGGTCACTTAAGCGTATTTACCGTCAATATGGATTGAGCGTCAACCTGCATTCACGCATTCACTGTATCACCACCATTCACTCGCACGCTGCTTTATACACACACACGCACGAGGCTGATCCTAGTATGAGCTTTACCACGGCAACGGTGACTGATAAAGCCATCCACACTTACGCCGGGGCGTCTCAAGAGAGCTTGTACAACCGGCAAAGCGACCTGAATAATCTCGTCTCAACAGGTTAGAAAAGGGCACCCCCAGCGGTTGCTGTCCCTGTGGCACCACAAGTTGACTCGCCACCTGACCGGAGAGCGGGCGTTCGCCTGCCAGCCGTGTCGGAGGGATGGGGGGGGGAGCAATGATTGCAAGGACATTTTTCAAAGTTGGCAATTTTGGAACGTGACGCCGGGATGCAAATGCCTCACTACTCGTTACGAATGACGTCACGGGCTCTTTCAAGTCCACGGAGTAAAGCAGACGAAGTGTCGTATTTTTTCATGCCGTTAACACGGCAGCAGCGAGAAACACACGACCGTTGGGGTCACGGTCCTAGTATAGGCTTCAGAGTTAATGTTTGGCTTACTTTGCAGCCCGGCCTTAAACGTACTTAATCATGTGATTGATTTAGTTCAATGATATTTAAATCTAGCATCTCTAGACAGCCTCCAATTCATTAATTCATTCACAAAATGCATACTTATTGTGAACACACACACACAGATGCATGCACACTACCTGCTCACGTCCGCAGATCTGCTTAGAAAAAGTACCTGGTTTTAAGGGCACGGGGACGCTTCAAACTGTGTTTCCTTCTCAGTGTCATTTAAAAGAACAAAAAAACAAATCAAACACTGAGGCAGCAACCAAGACTCGAGTTCATGTCGCGACGTGTGAATCTGTACAACCGATTATCCGAACCCCTGGAGGCAGTCAGCTACGGTTCGGATAATCGGAAACTTGAAATGTCAGGATTCTAAGCACCAACGCCAATTTATCTTGTGTCAGGTCAAAGGGGGCAGCAAATGTGAAGTTTACCAAATACAAATTTGGCTTTTTACAAATTTCGATCAAATTACTCTGGACGATGTGGGTTCGGATAATGGGGTTTTTTTTCGGTATTAGCCTTTTGAAATGCTGCTGGCATTGAAGACGTCTTTTGGTCTCGCCAGCACACCCACAGCTCCTGCACCTCTCTCCTGTCTCCATCTCAAACGGGAACGTCCCGTCGCCCATTCCCTTCGGCGGCATCGCCGAGCCACCTCGCTTCTCCATGCCGAGCGAGCGAGCGACCGCTGGCGATGCCGACGCTCCGGCACCACACATCGGCCCTGCTCCAGCTTCGCGGAGGTGACTGCTGCGCTCCACCCCCTCTCTCTCATGGCTTTAAGATGAAGGGGGTGGGCAATGCGTCATCAGTACCACTCCTCCGCTTTATATATACATACACAAAGATCCCGCATATAGCTTTAACATACTGTTGCGGGAAGTGCTGCTAGCGAGCACACGAGGGGGTGGGTGGGTGGCCAGCACCACCTTTGTCTCCCCAGTGGAGATGTTTACACATCGCACCAGGTACTCATTTGAGGCTGAGTCGACCTAGGGGAGGCCCATGATCGGTTCAAATAATCGTCACTGGTGTTGGCCGTGAGCGGGAATCGAACTCGTGTCACCGGGTTCGTTGCGCAGCTGGCTAACTGCTGCATAAATATACCCACATACACACACATAGGCAGACGCGCATGTATGTTACCACACGCAGGTTTGCACCAAATGTGGCCTTCTGGGTTAGGCGGCGCGTTAAGCGTTCCTTCTCGCAAGTTTTACCCCCCCTCTGCCCGCGCGCTACCGCGGGGGGAGCGCACGGCGACGATCAACGCGCAGCCCAACCCGGAAAGGGACCACGGTCGAGAAAGGGCGCCTGGACACGGGAGCTGCGGTGCACATCGGAGAGGGAGCGTGCTGTGGGTGCCCCTGGAATTCATGGCGTCTTTCAAAAGGCTAATATTCAATGCAGATGGCGACGGGGTGTGGGCGTGATGTTTCTACTACTGAGAGGCTGTACTGCGGCGGAGCTTGGACCGTGCAGCGGGCTCGCGGAGGCCACCTTGATGCTCCGTCCCCCGAGCGTGATGCCGTTCATCTGCTCCATCGCCAGCTGGGCCGCCTCGGGGAGGTCGTACTCCACAAACGCAAAGCCCTGCGCCCAGCGCCCCCACGCACGCACAATCAAACACACACACGCGCACACGCCCACATACACCCAAAGACACGAATACACGCGCGCACGCAGATACACAAACGCACGCGCGCACGCTCCCGTACACAGACACGCACGTCGCACACACGGACACAACAACAGCCGCCATTCGCCACTAAGTGGCGGTGACGTCAAGACAGCGCTTGTGCCAAGCTAGATGCACTTTGAAGCCAAGTGAAGTGTGGAAGGTTCGCTGCTGGCAGGTCACAGGTGTTATGGGTTAACCGATTGAGACGACTGGCAGATGCTCCACCTGTGCTCCCCACTGTCCAAACTTGCTGAATTTTAGCCGCCCGGTTCTCTGCTCGTTGTGAGCATTGCTTCACCGTCCTTTGTTTTTGTTGGAGGATGACTGCTCCTAACTGCCCAGTAGCGTCCATCATGAGCGTTCACTGAGGCCGATCTTGACACCGCTGGTACCAGTCATTGGCAGTCCGATCAACTCAATTTCTTCCGACACCACATCAACCTACCTTTTTCTAGCCCCCTGCTGTCTGATAGGTACACTGTTTGAGCATGCGGTGGCTGAGAATGTGGCTGAAATGACCCAGCCAACACAGCCTTGCCAGCTGGAGGAGCTCACCGATGGAACAGTATACAGATCATATTAAGGACCTTGAGCTTCTCACGCAATTCGGTCTGGTTAAACCCAGCGTGGAACGGATGCAGGATAGCCCGAATGCTTAAAACTGGCAAAGATGTTATGTTAAAGGGGTTCATGTTTCGTGAGCAGAGAACAGAGGGTATAACTGTGACCGAGAAGACCTAGAGCTTCAAATGCAGCAATTAGCCAAGCAGCTTCCACACAGCATTACACAATTGATGAAAAGATAATGCCGCTAGACGGATTCAGAGTTAGACATCAGTTGCAAATTCGGATCTGGTCATAAGCACACTGAGGACATAAATACCCAGGCAGGTGCTTTGTTTTGGTGGGGCTGATGGTAAAGCCCCACCTCTTCGTGGTACCCTTTAGGTTCAGCAATAGATACTTCAGGAAGCAATTACCAGATAATCCGCATACATAATATGGTTGTGACTAGTTGGGAGCCATCCCTTGACGGTAACCGGGCATTTGTTGTATTTGTCCCAAATTGAAATTTTTCTGTTACAGCCATGTAAAGCTTCTTGAACTACGTGGTCGAAAACAATGTGAAAATAAACAAAACTTTTAATTTGATCAGGTAAGACTCACTGGGATAGACAGTGTAGGGGCCAGTAAACATTCCTTTCGAATACCCAAGGTGGACATTACTCCAGACCACGCAGAACGTCAGGGATCCCAAAAGCACAAATAATAACCAAAAGCCTGGCCTTTTGAAGATATTTTAGACTTAAAGCTGAGATATAGATGCTTTTGAAATTCCATACACCTCTGCTGTAGCAGACGGATAGGGAAAATGGCATGTGTGTAGGAAGCCCCCTTTCCAAACAAACACTGGGGCTCCGCATGCCTCTCCTCAGCGTGCCTGGCAAGGCAATGCTGAATAATCCTTGCCAGGACCTTTGCAAGTACACTAAGGAGGAAGATCACCTGGCAGCTGTTGGAATCATGGTGGTCCCCCTTCTTAACAAGGTGGACCACCATGATGATATCCTTCCTATCCTGCGGAAACCCATCCTGTGGTACAAACAATTACATGAAACAGCGAAATCTGCACACAAACACCACCCTCTCTCAGCTGTTCACTTAGGAGGCCATCTCTGCCCGGCCGCTTTACCTGGCCTTAGGCTCTGGATGGCTCTTTGCACATCCTTAGCAGAGGGCACATCAGCTGACCACTCATGAGGAGCGGCTGCTTCCTCATCCAATAATTCAAGCATTTCCATTTTGGGGGTAGAAGGCTGATGATGCTAATTAGCCAGTAACCTCGTGGCTTGCTCAAGGCCACCGCAGGAGGGAAACGGGGTGCGGGGGGGGGCATGTTGGGTTGGTGCGAGAGGCTGGTAACCCCTCATAGCCACAATTAAAGTTCCGAGAAAAAAACCCACCACAAAAGGTTCCAGAATAATCTTACACGGACACAACTCACACAACAACAACACGCACAGACAAATCCCCCACAGTGAATCTCGCACCCCTCTACCCACCGTGTACGAAATGAGTATCGCTCAGCGTGAGACATTTAATAAAATGACAAATGCGAACTGAAATAATGTGTAATCATGACTGCGCGCAGGAGGTCGCAGTTGAGTTTTGTTAATCCAAATATATTCCTCTTTTTTAACCATCATCCCACCCACACGCAACATTTTAATCGGATACATTTATTCCGCAAGGAGCACGGCTCCTGACGGTTTGTGGAGCATTAAGAGTTTTCCCGTCACTGCTCGCAGCGTAAGCACAGCCTTAAGCCCCAGCCAGCGAGCGCCGGGTTCATTAGCACGCACAGTTGTGCAAAGCCATCGGAGGGGCTCAAAAATAAGCACCAAAGTCTAGTACTCGGCACCATCCCGTACACGCGAGACGCATACAAGCATGGGCAAAGATCCCCATGTAGCATGAACAGATTTTTGGGGCAAGTGCTGTGAGCGCGTAGAGCCTATGAAGGTCAAGGCGGGACAGCACACGAGGGGGTGGGGTGGCAGCACCACGCCTGACTGCCGCCTTCGTTGCGATGTTCACACATTGCACCGGGTACTACCTAGCGGAGGGCACAAGCCCGGTTCAAATGGTCGTCACCAGTGTTGGCCGCGACCGGGAATTGAACTCGGATCGGTGTTTTGGTCGCGCAACGCGCTGCCAACCGCTACGCCACCGCTCCCCCACACAAACACGAGCCTATAAGCTGCGTGCGTGCGTGCCCCAGAGCCCTCCCCTCTGCCCTTACCTTGTGCTTCATGGTGACGGGGTCGAAGCTCATGTCGATACTCTTGATGGGGCCAAAGGGAGCGAAGGCTTGGCGTATTGTGTCCTCCCCCAGCTCGTAGTAAATGGAGCCCACGTACACGCGGCACATGATGGCCAGGGCGCGCTGCCGCTGTGCCGCCATCTGCCGGGGAAGAAAGGGAGAGGAGGTTTTTCCCATTTGTGGCGTCGGGGCAACTAATAATTGTCGCGAGAGTACGTGTTAAAACTCGCACGCACGAGCGAGAACGCATCCACGGCTGACTGAGGGCGTTCTCAATCGGTGCAGGTCATCGGAGTTATCTAACACAATTTGTTTAAATATAAAATATATATACATACTCTGAACACGCATGACTCAATGCGTGCATAATGATTAAGCATATTAATGGATTACTTGATATTTGCCAATCGGAATGCAGGGATTTACCGATACAAACGGTCAACTGTCGAGAGGTCACGGTCTTTCCATATTGTACTGCCAATGTGAAATGAACATCTGCCAGGAGATTTTGGCCGTCCGATGGCTTCGGCCGAAAGGTGGTGACCTGCAGGTGCACGTGTGTTTGGGGCAGTGCCGAATTATACGGCACGCGGTTTGAGACGAGACGTACAGGAGCGTGTCTCGTATGCCTTGTGCTCCTCCGAGACGCCCCGGTGTAGAAGATGCGGCTCTATCGAACTCAAATCACTATAAATATTATTTATTATTATTACTGTTGAGAGTTCGTAGATATTATTTGATTCTCTTCTTGCACACGATGGCAGTAATGCGTTCACGAGCCAGATGGCAATGTGGAGGTCTCCAAGCCACGTCGAGAGCTTCAGGAGAGTTTGTGTAGTTGTGCTATTTCCTCCTCCGTTGAAGGAGACTACGATGGTTGGTGGCCATCCCGCGGCCCACCCGTTATGTGTTTTCAGGTAACCCAATAACCATCGTGTGGGCGAAACGGTTGTCGTCAATTCGAATTCAGAGTCTTTGTGAACTTTTTCGAGAGATGGTCGTTAACAAAACCTTGCGACGCCATTCACAAGCGCAGCATGTTGTGTGCCAGTGCATTGTGTGCCACCCTGAATGTTACGATCATCACAATAACAAAACGACAAAGGAGCAATAAAATTGTGTGTCTCTGGGAGAGAGATCCTTCAAAATCTCTACCGGTAAAGATGGCATCGTGTACACACAGGCTCTACAGTAGGTCTACTTTTAACGGCTAGTAACAAACGGGCAGAGATGAAAACAATATAATCATTAGTGTCGTTACGTAGAATATTAAGACACAAAATAACTAAGCAGACAATAAATACGCCTCCTTCACTTTCCCTCAACATAAACAGAAGTTATTTTTTCTTACACAACCCATCAGCCAACACAGCCTTCAGGGAGAGCGTAATCTCAACAGCACTGGTTTTGTTTGCATTGAACCAGGACTGCTGAAGTTATGCACTCCCGAAAGGCTGTTGCTTAAAGTATATTGTTTATGCGGAGGGACAGATACGTGGAGGGGTATCATCTGCTTAAGTTATTTTGCTAGCAATAAAATAATCACATCTACCCGCTCCGCACCCAACATTGTCACTGTTGCACCCTGTAACAAAACTATTCCGCCGTCGCCATATGCTTGCATGAACACACGACACGAGCAGCACCGCCCTACGGTTCAGAGTTTAACATTTACTTACAATGAGCCCTGGGCTCTCCCCTCCGCGATTGAAGCCGCTACAAATGAAGATGGAGGAGGCAGCTTGCTGCGCGCTCCATTCACACACACACACAGACCCTGCCATGAGCCCAGCCGCCACGGAACTTGGGAGAAAAAAAACCAAAACACAGTGGCACCCACCCTCTGCTGGCACACAAGCCACACAGCGGGCTGCATCACAAGTAGTAAGCCTGTTAAAAAAACGATAACCGGGAAAGAAATAAAACCGGAAACCATTTTTTTTGGAATCGGTTATCGGTTCGGAAATGTCACAAACCGGTAATCGTTTCCAGGGGAAACGTTTGGTAAGCAACGCGCCGCCGCCAATTGACACGCGCGGACGAACAAACCCCATGGTGTGGTAGGTTACCCATCGTTTTGTGTCAGTCAAAAGGTACAGGTGCAGCCCTGTGATTATCGCTTGCTTGCGCCTCTGGTGGCAGAAAGGCTTCCACGGTTAAAAAAACTATTAGCAGTTTACGTTTATTTTTAGAGACATTTGTACGTGCGGCAAACCAGGAACTGTTATATTTACTGGTTTGTTCTCGCGGTTACCGGTAACCCAAAATAAAACATTTTAACCACCCGAATCACAAGCCACCCAATGATTCACCCACTCAAAATGCAACCGTTATAATTTGGGGTTGGGATTTTAGTTCAAGAATCAATGCATTTTTTCATCACTTTTGTACCAGAATGTTTAGAGCAAGACAATTATGTTCATTTAAGAGCCCATGTTGACAATACATAACACAGAATCATTAGCATCATTGTGGATAATTTCAGTAACAAAATAAACACAGTAATACGCCTCCTTCATTCATCAGTCCCTCGACATAAAAAAAGCATTTTTTTAACATATCCATTTGCCACACGGCCTCTGGAGATTGCATAATATCAGCAGCACGGGACCGGTTTCAACACTCTAGTGTCTCTTCAGCAGTCAGGTTTGCTGGTGAATTGCCAGGTGTTTAAGAGGCAATGAGCCGCTCTCTCCCCCTGTCAGAAATAGGGTCGTAATTCGACGTAAAACTGTCGAACCCGCACAACACAAAGTAATCGTGAGCATTGCCGTGGAGAATACTTTGTGATGCACGAATCCAAACGTGGAGCGTTAAACGTCACGCCACGAATGCGCACAACGAACGTGCGTTGCGTAACGCACGCCGCCCAATAAATAAATATTTTGCAGTCTGGCCAATCAGGTGAGCACACCAGGTCATCGATTACGCAACTGCCTCAAGGAGTTAGCCAACAATTTTACCTCAACAATTATTGAAGATAAACAAATACATTAATTCTTAAACATTAAACAGAGAAAAATGTTTTCGCCATGGAATAAGTGACAAGCATTTCTTGAAACGAGTTGGGGTTCCTTCGATAATCGTATCGCAAATCTTTTCTGGGGGGAAAATCGATTATGTAAGAAACCGCTTCCGCTTGTGTTTCTTCATTCAGACTTCCTGGATTTGATTCCGACTTCAAAGATTCTTGACAAAAGTTAAGCGAAATGTCGCATCAAAATTTGGTTGCGAGACTTATCCTCCAACTAACTGATGAAGCTGAAACAATAAGAATCGGCGTGTTAAATTGTTTTTATACCACGTGACACTTTTGTTTGGATAAAAGCGCTATATAAATATTGTTTGGTTACGTCGGTCGCGTGACGGAGGGTTTTACAACATTAAATTGGCCAGATCATTTCAAGACCTTACACAAAAACCTATTGTGCATAAACTACCAGGCACTAATAGGTTCTTGAAAATGTCTCCTCACCGACGCTGCTAGACTGAACACTTTTCACCGCTGGTCCTATCTCACTATCCTCGGGACGCGGCAGTGCCTCGGTGGGCTGCTCCCGATATGTTCCCGTGAGTGAACGTGGGTCTGGCTTTGTGGACCCCAATACAACTGCCATTCGCCACTAAGTGACGGTGACGTCACCACGGCGCCTGTGCCAGGCCCACTTTGGGGCTACGTGTGGGCCCCGCAGACGCGCGCACACGCACACACGAGTTATCTGATGCTGCCACCTAGTGGCAAAATGTGGAAAATACGAATTTTGCACAAAGGAGCAGCAGGGGGTCATGGGCCCATTCATATTATAATACAAAATATATATAATACCCAAAGCTGAATTGAAAATTTTACAGAATTAATGTATCTATCTATCTATATAAAGGTGGCTGGCTGCAGGGTGCTGTATAGGTTTAATTGTTTTTAGACAAAAGTTAGCGAGCACAGGCCACAAGGGCCCAATACTTCAAGTGGCCAGTAACAATCGGCAAAGTTACGAAAGATGAGCCCACTCGCCACTGCCCAACAACGACCATAGATGGGGGAGATGTGGTGTGTGCAGGGGGGAAGGGGGGGTGAGGGGCTTCCCTCTCCCCCTGCAGCCAGCGCCGGACGCTAGCGCCGTTACCTGCAGGTTGGAGAGCTGCTGTTGCTGGTGAGCCAGAGTCTGCTTCACCAGCACCGTCTTGATGCTCTGTTCCATGGCGTATTTCTTGGCCTTCGCATGCCGGGACACAGACCACAGTGGGGGGGGAAGCACCGTGAGTGCCAACACCAGCAGCAGCAACAGCTGCTGCATAAAAGCTAAATGTGCAGCCCGCAATTTCTTGCCCACGCACACTGCTGGCAGAAGAGGGAGCACTATAACGAGAAACCTCTATCGGGTATTTGGCCTACTCTTCCACACTGGCCAGATGTCTTGGAAGAGGTGGGAGTTACCCACACTTCTTCCTCGCCAAAACGAGACCTGACAATGAGTTAACTGGAATGGTGAACCCGTTCACACTGCTGGGACAACGGTGGCGATTGGAGAAAAGTGAACCAAACCGGCGACATTTGGGGCGCGGGTTGAGCATGCGAACTGTTAAAGGACGGCAGCATCCCCCTGCATCATTAATTTCTCTCGCAAAGCAAAATTCGCCGCAAGATCACAACAATCAACGTGTCAACACGTCACCAAGACGCGCACCTATTGCGCGACAGATTTGTGGGTTTCCTGCTGCAATTTGCGGGTCCTGCATCACACGTGAGTTCACCGCTGCGGTACCATTGCAACCCTTTTACAGAATTGGTGAAACATTCCAAAGCAGGGGGTCTGCAGAGGGCCACGGAGGCACCAATGCCGCCAGTTCCCACCTTCTGCAGGGCCTCCTGCTGGGCAGGCGTGAGAGCGGGCAGGCCCTGTTTGACGGGCGGTGGCGGAGGAGGAGGCGGCTGGGCGGGCGCGGGCGTGCCGTTGGCGTTCTCGTACAGCTTGGGCGTGGGCAGCAGCGCCTTGGGCACCTGCTTCGTCAGCTGCTGCACCGTCAGCGGGAGGCCCGGTGCCTGGGGCAGGGGCAGCAGGGACTGCGGCTTAGAGGGGCTGCCCTCGCCGTCAGCGTCTGCATCGGCACCGGGCTCCTGGGCGGGGCCGTCTGCCGCTGCCTCGCCGCCAGGCTCTTGTTCCTCGCCAGCGCCGTCGGCGTCTGGCATGGCGGCACTGGGGACGGCGACTTCGGCGGCGTCGCCGGCCTCGTCGGCCTCACGGCCGTCCTCCTCCACCGCATTCTGGCCCGGTTGCTCCGGGGACTTCTCGGCCCCAGCCTCCGTCTCCATGGGCTCCTCCGTCGTAGTCGTCTGGGCGGGAGAATCGCTTTCGGGGATGCCCGGCGCCGTCACGACCTCGGAGTCGGCTGCGCCATCCTCCTCGGCGCTGACGGTGTCAGGCAGGGGAGGAGGATCCAGTACCCCGAGCGAGTCCTGATGGAAGAAACATAACAATTATAAATATTAAATACCGGGACTCCTCTACTTACGAACGAGTTAGGTTCCAGAGGTCTGTTCGTGAGTCCAACTTTACTCCTGTCAATTCCAAACGTGCAGAACGGCGTGTACACTAAACACGGGGATTGGCTGTAAAAGTTGTATAATCTACTGTAGATATAGAAATCCAATGGTTCTTCATGTTCTGCAGATGTAGATGCCACCACTGCAATCTATTGCACGGCGGTTTAACTTCCTAAGATTCTTGGTCCTAACAGGAAACTGGACATACACAGGTTTGTTCGTATCTCTGAACGTTCGTAGGTCGAATGTTCCCTTTAATTGTAACCGACTCCTCAGTCAGCCATGACTAATCCACTGCGAGATGAAGGTCTCCCCAAGCCACCAGCATTTTTCACGATCCTGCGATGCAAGAATCCATTCAGCACCTGCGCATGAACTCATCTCATCGCTCCATCTCCTGCTAGTGTGTTCCCTTTTTTCTGTTGTTGTTGATGATGATGCTGGCGATGAGGACAATGACCATAAGATAGTGATCATGATTTGTTGTAAATATTTCACTAGGAACTAAAAACCATTCCAACCATTATATTCGCACATCAGTTATAGTAATTTATGTTTGTGAAATATTGTGTGCGTTACAAATTGTATTATTTGTGCTGTTCATCAAAATACTGTATTCAGGTGGGTCCTGCAATGGAATGTTTGGCCAATTTTATAACATCGTTTTGGCACGAGGGTCTTAATTAGCCTATCTGGGGATTAAACTTTAAACTTGATTTGGTGCTTTCGTGACTGCAGGAATTACTCTTTGGTTATTTCGGTAAAGTCACGTAGAAAGAGAAGATAATAAATACTAGCATACGACGTTTCGATTGCAACACAAGCAATCATCATCAGGTACAAATGAAATAGAAAATAAAACCTAGTAAACTTAGAAATATAATGTAGTACAACACAGATAGTCGGCTAACATAAGTCATTACCCTACCTGGTTGATTACGTTCTTCCAAAGATTCCTGTGTGTTATCTCTCTCTGCTTACCTGTCTGTCTGTGTCTCCTGTCCTGTGTTAATCTCTCTCTTAAATTTAGCAATCTTTGGAAGAACGTAATCAACCAGGTAGGGTGCTGACTCTTATGTTAGCCAACTCTATGTGTTGTGTTACATTATATTTCTAAGTTTACTAGGTTTTGTTAGCTCTTTCATTTGTACCTGATGATGATTGCTTGTGTTGCAATTGAAACGTCGTATGCTATTATTCATTAAACTTTAAGCAATGCCGAGAAAGATTCAGGAATCCACTGAGGGACTGCAATCTCCACTAGCCACCTGACCGCACCACGATAAAAACCACACAACACCACCTCACTGAACATACCACCACACGACACAATTTAGTACGCCTTTTGGCGTCCTCTGGTCTGACACCGTTTGAGACGAGGCTCAAAAGAAAGCTGTCTCTGGTGTGGACCAATCAGTTTCGACTCCAAGTATTGTGGTTAATCCAGACATGATTCCTTGTAAAATGTTTCAGTTTGATGTTAACAACTTAACAGCTATATTCTTGGTTATTTTGGTAAGAAAAAAGCATTTATTATTATTTTATTATTTCCGTTCTACGTGATTTTACCGAAAAAACCAAGAATATGAAACCATGCAGTCACGAAAGCTTTAAATCGAAACTTAACACAGCTGTTTTGTTGCCAGATAAAAGGGGAAACCCCTATTCTCACACAATTCAGTATTCATCCTCATCGCTTTCCTATGCAGACTTTCTACGTTCTCCCCGCGTCATGCAGTTTTCCTCCGGGTTATCCGGTTTCCTCCCACAGATTAAACAAATCCACACAAAGTACGACTGACCAAACATCGCAATGTTGAAGATTTACATTGCGAAGCACTGCGCTCAATAGGGACCATTCACAGTATCACCCCCCCTACTGAAAAAGTACTCAGACACGGCGAAGTTCTCATGGGTACACGTGTGTAACAAATATATCAGAGTGTTTAAAAGGGGGATTATTGCTCCGTGTAATTTGCATTTATACTGCATGATGCCCCATTGCTCGCGATGCTTATTCAACCGTATTTCATCACGCTGGTCAGTCTGGCTGGGTTGTAGGTGGGTAGCATAGATGTTGGATCAGAGTAACATAATGGCGAGGGAACATTTTGCTGCACTGCCCTCTGTTGCCCGTCACACATTACCACCTACAGCCTCGAAAACCAGTTTCGCAATTGTGTTCGCCCATAAAAGTCCTTTCCAGGTTCAAAGCCTACTTAGCTCCCGTGCTCTGATCGTGCGCATTCCGGTATATTGGTCTCATCACAGATGTGCACGCGCGTCGAGTTAATCGCTGTCAATATCGACGACTACGACTCGTTCATAGCGGGCCACCCGATCCCCTCACAAAGAGCGCTCACACCCCCCACCACGCGCGAGCCCTCGGCGGAGCGTTGGCGACTCAACCCCGACCGCAGCACCTCTCATTTGGTTGACTAAAACCTCACCCAGGGGGGGGGCCCCAGAGTAGGAGAGACCCCATGGCCCCTTAGCCGCGGGGTTTTCAGAGCCCCGGAGCTTAAGAGCCGCGTGGACCCAGAGCCTCGGCGTGCCCGGGCACTATGGCCGCGGGGCTCCGGGGCCCTGGAGCCGCGTGGACACTAGGCCTCGACTCGAGCCCACGCCTGCCCCTCCCCCCACGTCCCACGACCACGTGACCACAGCCTCGCCAACCGCCGTCGCGAGCTCACGCCGGGACACGCCCCAAGCGTGGCGCGCGCGGTCACGTGGGGCGGCGCCGTCCAATGGGAGGCGAGGAGCGGCGCGCTTTCGCCCGCGTCCGCCCGGGGCCCTCCCGCCATCGCACCTCGCCTAGAGCAGGCCGAGGCTTCGGGCTCTCCCGCCTCAGCATCTTCCCCATCCCACCGACCGTCAAGAGACGCGCGCGCTTATTCATTCTCTCTCGCAACCCCCCTCCGCGAGGCGACGCTGACCGCGGGCACCTGCTGCGGGAGCGGCTGAGCCTGCCGCGTCGCCTCAGCCGACGAGGACTCCTCGCCCGACGCGGCCGTCGTCTCGGTCGCCATGTCGCTCGCTCGCTCGCGCGCGCCGCAGAGCAAATCTCGCGAGAGCGGGGGGTGTGTGCAGGGTTGGGGGGGGGGGGGTCCGCGAGATTCTGGCGCGGGTGACATCAGGTTTAAGCCACGCCCACTCATGAATAATTAACCGTTCGGGAAACGCGGCGTTGTGCCGTGAGTGGCATGAATGTCTTGTGTGTGTGTGAGCTGCAACAGCAGCGACTTTATTATTACCTGTTTAACACGTAGGCTTTCGCGACCAATAACCATAATGTACTAATAGGGGTTTTCCCCTTTTTCCTGGCAGCAAAACTGACACCTTTTGCAAGGAATCACGCTTACATTAACCACAATACTTGCAGTCAAATGCAAAAAAAACAATACTCTGATCATTTATGCATTGTCTTTGAAACTGATTGGTAGTTTTTTGGGGTTAGATAGCGTATTTACGCAATCTAGCTCCAACCCCCCCCCCCCCCCCCCCGATCTTAATGATCTACATGTACCGAAACATCGTGTATCGAATATCCGCATATCGAGGCATTCCTCTGCCATTATTATTGCATACCTATCAACCCCTTATCAGTGCCCTACCTTACTACAGACCAATTCAGGCCTTGTTGGTCACCCCGTGCCCTTATACATCTCAATGTTCATCCTACAAAGCCCCATCACATGAGAGAAACACAAACAAATAGACACAAAAATGTGCCCGTATTGAAACGGCTGTAGGCCGTATGGAAGTGAAAACTCAGTTTCCCTGTACAAGAATACGGGTAAACCGCATGGGTTGACAAGTATATGCATATACAATAGGCGACGTTTCTGTAAATGACCCTACGTCATGGTGAATACATAGAGAGAGGCCAACAGAGAGGCAGAGTGATTGGCACGAGTTGGAGGCGACACGTGTTCAAACTGTGAGAAATGCACTTGAAACCTTTAGGCTATTGGGCATCACAACTACTAAATAAACTGAGTGAGCACGTGGCCCGACCCACAGAGCAGCGAGGGCCCAATCCCCATCGCCACAGAAGAACTTCACCTGTCCAACATTCCCAACTCACCACTGCCCTTAAAAGAATGCATACATACATGTAACGATTGTTTAAAATGTAACAAGCTAAGAAACTGGATCTTTATTCCGACTGCAGTCAGAATCCGTTGAGCTATGAAGCTCTTTGCACAGATGCCCAAGCATGGCCACGTCAGAAATGTGATCCTCACGATCCATGGCGAGACACCCCGGAGGAGTTTACTGCACATCCACTGCACGCACAATATAAATGTTTCTTATCATTTTTTCCCCGAGTGTGTTGGCGCTTTAGATTTGAAGCTTTCGTGACTGCAAGGATTCATACTCTTTGTGTTTTTCGGTAAAGTCACGTAGGTAAAAAATGAAAATAAATGAAAACAACTAAATTAAATCACGACTTTCAGACACTTAAGTGGTTGTGCTTTCGCTACGTTGTCGCCATCTGAAGAAGGACGCTTGTGTTGCCCGAAACGTCGTGATTTAATTTTGTTGTTTTCATTTATTTTATTTTTTACCTACGTGACTTTACCGAAAAAGACAAAGACTATGTCGGCGCTTTGGTTTTACTGTGCGTGTACACCACTGTCAATGTTTTAGCAGCACCAATTGCAATGTTATAGCATCAGCAGCAGCTATGTAATGATAATGAATGTGGCTCTATTATAATGGGGCCACAAGAGGCCGCTCTAACACAGGCCGAGGAGGGGTCATCATGACGATCACTCAATAAGGGGTCCCAACTGGAGTCCCAGCGGACACCACGTTTACCGACCATTCCCAGCACTCAACCACCAACTCCTCTTCATCCTCGTCAGCCACGATCTATCCACTGCTGTACGTTGAACTTCTTTCGCACCGTACGTAGCCAGCCGTGCTAATCGGAGGTGCGGGGGAAGGACAACAAACACAAAACTGTTGATTCTAGATTTGAAGCTTTCGTGACTGCAAGGATTCATACTCTTAGTTATTTCGGTAAAGTCACGTAGGTAAAAAAAATGAAATTAAAATTAATAAAAAAAATAACATAATAAATAATAAAATCACTACGAAACTGCTGAGCGAAGGTCCCCCCCGGCCTCCAAGCCATCGGCATCACCCCCACGGTGCTGCAATGCCACCACCAACGACCACAGCCGTCAATTGCCACTCCGCGGCGGCGACGTCACCACAGCGCTTGTGCCAGGCTAGGTTCACTTTGTGGCCACGCGAGGTGTCGAAGGCTCGCCGGTGCCAGGAGGTCACGGGACAGACCCAGGTGTGCCATCTGCTGACCGACTGAGATGGCTGTAAAGACGCACCACCTGTGCGCTCACGATGTGCCAACTCGCTGCGTTTTACCCGCCCAGCGCTTCGCTCGTTGCTTTCGCTGAGCGTGTAGTAGCTACTACATATGGAAGGCGGTATAATATTATAGTAATATAGCAAGTGCAGAATCACTGAATCAATTCCGGTTCAGTGATTCTGCACTTGCTCTATTACTGTAGTATTATACCGCCTTAATTTTTTACGAACGACTGGGCGTTTCAGGTTAGCGATTTGTCGTATTATCTGGCCGTATAGCAAATGAAAAAATACAATGACTTTACTCTGCAAGTAAAAAATTTGTGTTTTAATATTTGTTTTGTATTTAGGGCCCCTGTATAACATTTGCCACAGGCCTCGCACTAGCTGAGTCCGGCAATGTCGGCTCCTCCGCCCTCGGCTTTGGCTCACAGTGGAACACTCCATCGCGGGCCACTGAAGCTTCGCACTTGAAAAACACTTTTCTTTATAACTGTTTTGTGTGTGTTTGGTTTAACACGCAGGAGGCTTTCGCGACCAATGTTATTCACATTGAAAGTTTTTGGGTTGGATCGCCGTAAGTATAAATGTGTCGTAACCCTCCACCACCCGACACAGCCAGCAAGGTTTGTCACGTAAACGACGCGACAATGAGTTTACTACTTCAGCCCACCGGCGTGCTGGAGAGTAAATCGACAACATTTACAATGTGGGCACCGTGACGTGTCGCTGGTAATTACATCAACTAGCAGCATGGGCCGATTAGCCAGAATAGTGAAGCAATCCGCCTGCTTCTGATCTTACATCGAGCAGCAAGACGACCTCATCACTGGACCCATCAGGATCAGAGGCGGAGGAGACCGGGCGGGGGGGATTGTAATTATATCATAGATTGGCAATTCAGTTTTTTTTTCAGTTTAAGTTTATTTGGTATAGCCCTGTGAGCCATTCGGCTCTTGAATCTAGTGCAACCGCAACAAAACAAAAACATGAACAAGAAAACATCTTAAAGTGACTATGCGCAAACAGAAAAATTAATAATTATTTAATTAGTATGTGTTTCCTCTTATGTGTTTAGATTGTTGCCATTTCCCCGCACCTCCGGTTACCGCGGTTGGCCAAAGAAGTTCCACGTGCCCATTGCTGGAGGGCGACTGCCTCCCACTGCCCATCAGCAGCAGCAGCGTCCTTCACGAGCCTCCTCTATAGAGGCCGATCTTGACACCGCTGCTGATACCGCTCATCGCGTGCATCAGTGGGGAGTGGTGGTCGCAGTGGATAGCGAACCCGGCGACCTGAGTTTGATTCCCACTCACGGCCAACATCAGTGGCGAATATTCTGAACAACCGTTCCTTCGTGTCTCTTAGGCCAACTCAGCCTCAAACGAGTGCCTTGGTGCGGTGGGTAAGTACATCACCACTCGGGAGACAAAGGCGACCGGGCGTGGTTCTGGCTTCACCATCCGATTCGTGTGCCGCGTTGTTCCTTCATAGGTGCTGCTACTCACTCACAGAACTTTACCCAACAGTCTATCAAGGCTACACGGGGGACCTTTGTCTTTGTACCGTGTGTGAAGTGTCTTCCACTTTAATCGAAAACGAATAGGTCACGTGTGCCTGCATCACGGTCCCAATTAGATTTAAAAAAAAATAAACTTGCAAATTAATTAATGTGACTACTTAATTGGAATAACCAGCAGCAACATCTCCCCCCTCCCCTCGCCCGAGAGACCCATTGCGCGCTGGCAAGCCCGGTTCTTTGTCGCCTTTCCTTCCGCGTAGGGACAGCTGCCGTCAGGGGGTCCCCTAGGCGAAGTGTTGGGATGAGATGTCGGGGAAAGGCAGCTACGAGATTCTGCGGCATTAAGGCAAGCGCCCTGTACATTCAAATTGTTAAACCGTATTCATAGTACATCGCTGTGACTGATTCGCAACCATAATAACACATTCCTGCGGAGGGAGCTGGTAGGAACGTTGGGTTGCTCGTTCAATGGCCAGGGTCAACGGCGGCGTGGTGTATTCCGCAAATATGGCCGACTGTGAGGGCGGGCATAAGCCGGCGTGAGTAGGTTAAACGTTGAGTTTTATAAGGGCTTCAAATCTAGAATTGTATAAGCCCCACCCTCCCCACCCACCCCTCCCCACCCTCCCAAGGCCGTGCCTGGGTGGCAGTGCTTGGGAGGGTGATCACCACCCTGTGCATACCCTCGGTGTAGTCGGCGTTGCGGGCAATAGAGGGCAGCACAACAACACCCATCGCTCTCCTGCACCCCTCCCCCCGGTAACCCGTCCCGCCCCCCCACGTCCGTCGACCTTCATTAACCCACACTGACCAAACGTGGTGAAGTATGGTCAAATACCGCCCCCCCCCCTCCCGCGGGCCGTAATTGACAGGTGCACCGCGAGTCGCATCTTAGCGTCGTGATTTGTGAATATTGCGGTGCTGGGTACAGGATCCCATCGTAGACGGAGAGGCGGGGGGGGCGGGGTAATGGAGAGGGAGGGAGGTGGAGAGGGAGAGGCAGGGGGAGACAGATTGGAGAGGCAGATGGGCAGCCTGGCAATTGGCACACACCACAGCTAGAGGGACAGGGAGCAAGCTCGTGGAGATGCGGGGGGGGGGGGGGGCGGAGGGGGGACAGAAGAATGCTGGCCAAGAGATGTTGGCGGAGCAATGAGCACAGGCTGGTGCGCTGCTACTGCTACACGGGTGTGTGTACACGTGTACACGTGTGTACACGTGTACACGTGTACA